TGCACAAAAACAACTTGGTCTCACCTTTGGTATTACTTACATTAATTACAGATGTTTAATTTGCTTGAAAAGATTAAACTGTGCTTTCTTACAGTCAGTGTAGGCTCTTTTGCACACGTCTGACTTGTCACTTGTCACGTGCTTCATGGAGTTGGATAAATTTAATGCCATATTGTGGGACATTCCAGGCAGAGCAATAAAAGTCAAATCAAATTATCAAGATGGAAAATGCATAAGGCAAGACTTAATCTCACCTATCAGAACTAGTAAGAACACAAGGTAAAACTACTGGTACAGTCTATAAAAAATGTGTTAATGTGTGATATCAAATAAAAGTACACTAAAGGGCCCATATTACAAGACTTTCTGATCTTATAATGTTGTTTCCTCATCACAATCAGACCTGGAGTTTTGTTTTGTTCATTCACACATGTTTTAAACACAAATCCTGCTGTTTAAGATTCATGCTGATTTCTTCTCTTGTGGCAATTCAGGAAATGCTGTTTGGCTGGTGCCCGGACTCGCACTTCTGGGGTTCTTGCAAACCGTCTAGTGTATTCTGATTCCTGGTTACACAGTACGCACATTAGCAAACACTGCCAAAACAAAAGTAAAAAAAAAAAATGTTCACGCTGCAGCCTGAAGTGACCCAAATCCGATTTTTTGGCCTCTATGTGACCTGTATCTGATCTTTTAATGACAGTCTGAACGACACAGATTTGATTTTTTCAAATGTGACCCAGGACACTTGGATATGTGCTCCTGAAACTGATACATATCCGATCTTTTGACATGTGACTTCAGTGTGAACGGTCAAAGCTCATTCATTTGACCTACACGTTATCAACAAGACACAAACGTCACTATTCTGCTCTGAGGTAGGTGAAAATTGTTAATGAACTCCGTGTCACTGAAGCGAAGCACATCACCACTCACCACTCTTATCTTATCTTGACTACATCTCCGCATCCACATGTCCCTCAAAACGCCACGACCAAAAACCTCGTCCTTCTCCTTCTCAATCTCCTCCTTAAAACAAGTAAGTTGTTCATGTTCTGGCTCCGGTACGAGAGGAACTTTAAAATCTCCAGGTGCTCAATGCTGCGTCCATGTTTGGACAACTTCCGTAAACACAGAGCACGCTCACTGCGGTTGATGTCGTCGTGTCTCCAGTGCACATGCGGGACACTTTTGGGCCGTTTAATGTTCACACTGGAGTCACATACAAGTCGCATTTAATTAGAAATGTGAACGACCTCGCAAAAACATCGGATTTCACAAAAAAATCCGAATTGAGCCCTGCAGTCTGAACGTAGCCTAAGATCATTACGAGCGTTCATGGTCCTGAGTTTGATTTTCAAAAAAAGGCTTATCTGTTGTAGTTCCAGCTAAGTCTGCTCTTTCTGGTCAGATTGTGTTAAAATAAAGTTCTAACAAGGCCTCAGACAGAGCAGTGCTTACAGTTAGCATCACACCCCAGGTAATGTTGACATCAGTGGCAAAGTATGGATAGAACATGTGATGTGTGGTATGGCTTTACTGTTTAGAAGTTGGTTAGGAGTTGTTGTTTTTTTTGAGTGTGAGCAGAGTCATGAAACAGGATGAACAGTACAGGAAACAGATCTACTTAATTATACCCTCTTTTTGTATTTTTATTACCCCTCACCCCCAAGTGGTGTCCCAGATTTTGAATTTGAGAATCTTGTCGCCTTAGACGGTATATCCTGTCAGGTAAGAGAAGGGAGTCTGTGTTGCCAGCATTTCTACTGATAAAATGCTCAAATTTGGAAATGTTTTCAATTCAGATGCAATTTAGATAAGGTTATTTTTCTGTCAATCATCATATCATCTTATCATATATCAAATAATATAACTGATATAATGTATTTATGTTATGATATTTGTTTTTTACTTACTGTACAGTCATCCCTCGCTATATCACGGTTCTCTTTCTTGCTGTTTCGCCAATTTTTTTTTGCCTTTTTTACAGTGAGTGTGTTTACATGCACATCAGTATCCCGGTTATTAGCCATATCCCGGTTATGTCAGTATTCGGGTTACTGCGTTTACATGCGCGCTGAGAAACCGGGATACTCATAATCTTACAAATGTGCAAGCGCAAAAAATAACTTAAATCAATTTCATAAACCAGGAAAAATACAAACCATGAGCTCCTTTAGCATAAGAAGCTAAGGAGCTACGAGATCTCCCACAATCCACTGCACACATCAAACCAACAGATTCTTCATTAAAATCTTCTGCATAAATAAACTCAACTTTACAACATATAAACCATAACCACTGTAGAGCCACATCAGCCCGTTTGATCATAGAATTCAGCTCTGATCACATTTGTTTACGTTTTACAGAAACGAAACTTAAGACCGTTTGGCTAATTAGCATAAACTGTTAGCGGCGATAAAAACAACTCGCTCCTTGTGCCGCTGATGCAATCAGCTTCTTTTGGACTAAATGACACGACTCTGTGGATTATGTGTGTGTTCTTTTTATGACAGAAGAAGCGCTAATGATGGTAAGTGTGTTCTGTGCGTATGCAGTATAAGAGATAGTTCATGTTTTAGCTTTTCATTGATCACACGAGTGCAGGTCAGACGAGTGCAGATTGTACATGTGCAGGTTTAGCACAGCTCTTTATTTTACAGTCATTTTACTCGTTTGGTCACTTTATTTATGTTGGTCAATTTATTTATGTCGCTACTGTTGTGGTGAAAAGACTGCAAAGTGTCTTTTGGACGCATGCGCACTCAATTTTATGTTGCAGTAACTGGGATACTGTGTATACATGCCACAAGTAACCCTGGTTACTATCGGAATAAACCAGCTACAGTAACCTGGGTTCTAATAACCGGGATACTGCATATACATGTCCGCAAAGCGCGATCGGGCTGCGCTTACTTCCGTGAGGTGCGGAGCTGAACCGGTCCTTTACCCTGCGGTCACCTCCGAGCCCGTCCTGACAGTGAGTTCTGTTTCAGTTCTGGTTTGGTCCTGGTTAAGTCCTGGTTTACTCCTGTTTAAGTCTTAGTTCAGTTCTGGTTTAGTCCTCCTCTTCAGTCCTGGAATCAGTTCTAGGTTAGTCCTGGGTTAGTCCTGGTTTAGTCTTGGTTCACTCCGTGGCGTAGGCAGTGCAATAGTTTGATATAATCTTGGGTTAACGGGCAGGTGCGGTCCTGTACTGCGCAAGTGCGGGTCTACAAAAAAGGACCCGTGCAGGACTCTGCGCTGTAGACCTCCATTATGGAATAAATGAATCTTCGCTTCGTTATATAAAGGACAAAAATCACAAAAGGACGACAGCAGCAATAAGTTTTAAAAAGGATGCAAAAAGGGCTGCAAAAAGTGTGTGATGAGGGGTTTTACAGCCTTAAAACAGATATAATCATTGTAAAATATAAAGGTGACTACTTCGCATATTTCACCTATCGCGGGTTATTTTTAGAACGTAACCCCCGCGAATAAACGAGGGACCACTGTACTTACATTTATATCATTTATGTCTTATTGACACCAGTCTCTTGCTATTTTTTTTAATATTTAGAAGTTTATTACCTTTTTTGTTTTTACTCTTTGTTACTGTAATATATTGTGATGTGTGAGCTACTGTGTCTAAGTCATTTCCCTTGTGGATCAAAAAAGTCTAAGTCTGCGTTCAGACTGCAGCGCTTAATGCTCAATTTGGATTTTTTTGTAAGGTCATTCACATTTCTAATTAAATACGACTTGTATGTGATCTTCAGTGTGAACTTTAAACACCCCAAAATGTGCATTGGAGGACACAACGCCGTCATACACAATGTTTATGGAAGTCGCCTGAATGCTGGGCTTCCCAAAATACGGTCCAGTTGTTTGTAAAATGGACAGGTTACACGTCCTCTTTGTTTGTTTGAGTCTTTATCCTCCTTGTATTTGGCTCACAGGCTCTTGATTTTTTGTTGACATTGAAGCCAGAACCGCCTGTAGCCGCGCTCGGACATTTCTTTGACAATCATTTCAAAAAATGCCCAGTTCCAATAAGACCTCTCCAATTTGACCTGAATACAGTGATCCTCCCAAATATGAATGAACTCTTATTTTTATTTTTTATTTTATTTATTTATTTGAGACAGGGACAGCGCACAATTTTCGCATTAACCTTGACAGGAGCGATGCATTGTACATCAGGTTGTAGCATCAGTGCTAATTTCCACCTGTAGTCCCTGGACAGGTTCATTGATTGATTGTATTTAACTGACCTTGACTATCAACTGTTCTGGAGACCTGTAGCTTGTTTTGGGTCTCTAACCTCACTTTCCCTCCATTGAAGAGATTCTGAGCCTGACGTGTAGGTGGGATGAATGTGTCCTGGCCATTCACACTGAAGTCACATGTCAAAAGATCAGATATGTATCGGGTTTAGGAGCACATATCCAAGTGCTCTTGGTCACATTTGAAAAAAATCTGATCTGTGTCGTTCAGACTGTCATTAAAAACCCTCTGAGACCCACAGTTGCAGAATTGCAACATTTACTTAGAGCAGTCTAGTAGTGCCTCACATTGACTCAATGTAACAAAAACTGCATATCCCAGCACCCAACACTCTGCATTGCAAAATGATACATTTTTGGCGGGAAAATATTAATACTGGAGGGAATATCACATTCCAAAGTCAAATGACATGGCTGCCCTCTACTGAGTACCCAACTCTCTGTTCTGGATCAGATTTTAACAGTTGTAAAAGTAAGTATACAATCTGTAATATTTTTTTCTTTCATTCTGAACATGTTTAGTGTTAGAAAAGTTAAATAACTTTTTCAAAAAGTTAAATACAGATGATTTAGAGTGATTTATGTAAATGTTGCGAAAACGCAACACTGGGTTACAAAGGGTGCCCCTTTTACAGAGAAGCCCTTATTCCTGAGTGTTGAGCCAATAGTATAGATGGATATGTGTGTGTGTTTGTAGTTATGTAGTATATAAAATTGTATAATTTACTTTTCAGGATGCCATTGATCAAGAGAGGAAAGACATTTTCAGTTACTGATGTTCTGGAAGCCATTTTAAATGGAGACAACAGTGATTTTGAGATAGAGTCAGAGAACAGCGATAGTGATGAAGAAGATACAGCACAGCATTCAGACATTTCAGCTGACGAGGAAAGTGAAGATGAAAATGAAACAGAAATTCAGACAGGACAGCAGACAGAAAGTCTCAGCAGTGACAGTGAGGATGTGCCTTGTACAACACAGTGCAGGAAGAATTCAGAGGGCAGAGAACTTCGCTGGCTTAAAAAAGAGTTTGTAAATCCAGAAACAACTTTCACAGGTGCTGATTTTGCAGCCTCCTCCAACTATGAACTACAAACCCCACTGCAGTACTTCCAGAGATTTGTGTCCCAGGAGATGCTTTACAACGTGATGGTCAAGAGCAATGAATACAGTCTCCAGAAACACGGGACAGTTGCTGACATATCTTTAAAGGATTTAGAACAAATGATAGGCATGTACTTGCATATGGGTATAGTTCAGATGCCTGGTGTCAGGGTTTACTGGGAAACTGACATACGGTATGGCCCCATAGCTGATGTGATGACTCGCAACCGTTTCCAGTGCTTGCTTTCGTCCATCCACTTTGTGGACAATCTCACTGTTACAGATGAACAGAAGCAAGATAAACTTTGGAAGATTAGGCCATGGTTGGAATCATTCAGGGAGAAGTGCCTACAGATAGTGCCAGAGGAGCATAACTCCATTGATGAGATGATGATTCCTTTCAAGGGAAGGTTCAGTGGGATCAGACAGTATATGCGTGGGAAACCACATCCCTGGGGCTTCAAGATCTGGGCAAGAACCGGAATCTCTGGCATGCTCTGTGACTTTGATGTGTACCAAGGGAGTGTGCAGGGTAAGCCTGCACACTCAACTTTTTCAGACAACTTTTTCACCTCTGTGCCTCTGCTTGTTAAACTGCTGGAGTGTGGCATACACTTTGTTGGCACTGTTCGTCCTGGGCGTGTGCCAAACCTCAGGTTAGCAGAAGAGAAGGAGCTGAAAAAACAAGGAAGAGGAAGCTTTGACTTCAGAGTGTCACAAGAACACAACATCTGTGCAGTGAGGTGGTATGACAACCGGTCGGTCACACTTCTCTCCACTTTTGATGGTCCAAACCCAGTTGACAAGGTTGCACGATGGAACAAATCCACCAAGTCCTTCACTGAAGTGAGAAGACCATCAATTGTGAAGACATACAACAAATTCATGGGTGGGATCGACTTGCTGGATTCCTTCACTGCCAAGTACAAGTTCCACATGAGGTCCAAACGGTGGTACATGTACATCTTTTGGCACACAATCATCATTGCTGTGGTAAATGCTTGGCTGCAATACAAGCGCGACTGCAGGACCCTGCAGATCCCTGTGAAGGAAGTGCTGAACAGGAGACGGTTCCAGGCACAGCTCTCTGCATCTCTCATTCAAACTCACACTATAAAGAGAGGTAGACCTTCAATGAATGAGGAAAGATCACAACTAAGTGTTAAAAAAAAGGTGTACAATGCTCCCCCTCCTGATGTCCGAAAGGACTGCATTGGACACTTTCCTCATAAAGATCAAAAAAGAGGCCGGTGCAGGTACTGCAAGAGCGGATACACATCCACCTGTTGCATGAAGTGCAATGTCCGCTTGTGCTTCACAGATGACAAAAACTGCTTTCTTCAGTTTCATATTTGATGAATGACAAGATAATGATGAGATTTTCTTGTTCATATACAGGATTGTTGTATTAAATATATGTTTTGAGTTAAAAACAAAACATTAAATTCTCATGTTTCTCCTGTTTAAACATTAAATCAAATTTTATTAATCTTTAAACATTAAATTTTGAGTTCAAAACAAAACATTAAATTATCATATTTCTCAGTTTAAACATATTAAATTTTGAGTTCAAAACTGTATATTAAATTCTTATGTTTCTCATGTTTAAAGTCTTATTCAGTGTCTCATTCTCATGTTCACTTAGTGCTGATCTGTATAAAAAAAAGTGTGTTTTCAATTAAATTCATTCATTTAAAAATATGTTTTCATTTTATTGAGTGAGCAATAACTAACACAAAGTTGGCTTTTATTAAATGTGAAGTTGTAATATTTGTAACCACTAAAGCCCGCTGTTGCAATTTTGCAACATTTCCACAGATTCCTCAAAAAAAAGGAAAAAAAGAATTATTTTCTGCATTAGAGGCTTAGTAAAAGCATTTTAAAGAGGGTTAAAAAAAAATTCATTCAGGAAATGAATGCTTGGGTCTCAGAGGGTTAAAAGATCAGATACAAGAGCATAGGGGCGAAAAAATCTGATTTGTTGGGTCACTTCAGGAAGCAGTCTGAATGTAGCCTTAGTCTAACAGCAAACAAAATTCTGATCCAAACTCAAAGATCAGAAGCTTAAATAATTTCAAATGGTCTGTCCGCTTCCTTTCAGAGCTTTTTCGATGGTTGTGTTGCTTCCAGACATGTATTTTCATATTAAAGGATTTGACCAATCACATTTCCGGCATCACTTGTAGTCAGGCAGAGTCAGAGTCAAAGCAGTGTGCCTGAGGCCTTCACAATCTGTTCTGCAGGCCCTCGAACACTAAATACATGTCTATGAAACTGTTGCTTCAACCAATCAGATTTTGAGTCTGTGTCACCAGGGCCTTTAGCAGCGAATAACAAAGTCACCGGATTCAGACCTGGTGATTGGACAGTCAGAGAGCAAACCAGCCAAAGCAGCAAACTGCACTTGTAGCGAAAATAGGACTAAACCAGGACTAAACCAGGACTAATGTTGGACTTGAGAGAGAGAGCGAGAGAGAGAACCCCCAAAACAATGGAGCAGTGTGTCCACAAAGCGCGATCAGGCGACAGCAGAGTCCCCAGACAGCGCAGAGCACCGGCCCTGGTGCGGTCCTTCCGGTCCTTTAGTCTGCGGTACCCGTCAGTCTGTGTGGGTGCACCTTTGGTCCAGTCCTGACAAACAGTCTTGGTTTAGTTCTGGTTTAGTCCTGGTTTAGCATCCCAGCACTCCTCACTTCTTCTCCGTGCACCTCGTGCCCCCTCTCCTCACTTCTACGTGCACGGAATTTCCACAGCTCTTTTTATTGTGTTTCTGTAGAAAAAGATGTTTTATAACCATAAAATAGTTATTGAGGAGTGGATTGTTTCAGACGGACACTCCTCCACTGAGTTCTACTAATAACAATAGAAGAGAGAACAACAGACTGTTAAACTCACATATTAACAGTTCTTCAGATAAATATAACATTAACAACAGAACAAGTTTATCAGACTCCTTTATTCAGGACAACTTGTTCAGTTTTTATTGTTTAGCAGTCTAAGATATTCACAACATGGCTTTAACATTTGAGCTAGAGATTTGAATAAATGTCGACACTCCCTAACTACTTCAGTTTTCAATGTGCTATTGGCTTATTGCATCTTATGTTTTATTCATTATCATTTTGTGATCAAAGCATTTTTACTTACCTTATTTTTAATGCACACCCTTAATTTTTTATTTACTGTTTTATTTAGTGCACAATGCCGCAGAGGGAAGTTCACAGTTTGCCAATTTTGTTCACTGACAATAGCAATAAGTCTCTTTCTAATTTTTGATTGGTAAAAGTTGTTTTCAGTATTGTAGTTTATAGCAACATTTTCTATAACATCCTAAGTAGGAGCACTGTTGAGCAAGTTATTTTAAAACTGTAATGTGTTATTTATTACTCATTACTGTCATTTCAAAGTAATTCGTTACATTACAATATTACTGCATTTAAAATGTAAGGCATTACATGACTATTGCAGTACTTTTAAGTTACTCTCACCAAGATGATGCTGATGCTGAACTTTTGCACTGTATATGGACCAGGACTAAACCAGGACTGAACCAGGACTAAACCAGGACTGAAACGAGGACTGAACCAGGACCAGGACTGAACCAGGACTAAACCAGGACTAATCTTGGACTAGAACTTGGAAGCGCTTTGCAGACAAGATTTCCGCAAAGTGCAATCGGGCGTCAGCTGCAGTTCGCCCCGTGGAGCGTGGAGTTCTGCGTCGGTCCTTTCGCCTGCTGTCACCTGACGGTCTACGTGGGCGCATCTCTAGTGTTTCACCGCTGCTGATATCGTGGTGAAATTAGCAAATTTGTTTGAAGAAAAACCCACCACTTCAATCCAGGTTAAAAATGCATTGTAACACACATTACTGACATTTGTACCAAGTTAAATATTACAATTTTTTTTTTCCTGTAATGTCTTACATTACTGCGTTACAGCAAAAAGCAATGCATTACAGTAATTTGTTACTTTTATAACACGTTACTCCCAACGCTGAGTAGGAGTGTGGTCTAAGTACAGTAGAAGCACTACAATTAAAATGATCTGTCCTGCAGCTCTCCAGTGCACTAGGATCAAGCAAGAGCCAATGATATATCTGCAGTGATGGAAGAAGTACAGGAGCAAGTACTACTCTAGTCAAAGTCAAAGTATTCCATAAAAGTAAAAGCAATTAAAGTACTTGTTTAAAAATGTACTTCAGGAATAGAAAGTGCAAAACCTGCTCTCAAAAGCTACTTAACTAAAGTACAGATACCTACATTTTTTACTTAAGTATAGTACTTTACTACTTTTACTTTGCTACCTTTCACCATTGTATATTTGTCAGTGTTTTCAAATCACTCAGAGATTTTATGAAGAAATCATGACACGTATGGTTGTTTCGTGACTCCACACGTGGCTGAAATGTTTTTGGTCACAGTCAAACTCGTTTTTCACCTTCAGTCACATTTGATATTTGACTCTTTCCATTAAACAATAGCCCTCAAATGTGATGTAAGAGCAATTATTCTTTTTATTTTTTACCTCCCCCCCCCACACACACACAGTTTAAATAGAGTCTGTTATTCGGAATTCTTCAGATGACATTTGAACAGCGAGTGCATCTGTGCTTCTCTTTCAACAGGTAATGCAAACTATTTTTTTTTTACGCATTTATTTATCAATCAAATATGTATTAGTTTTGTGTTTGTGTGCTTACAGAAACATGTCCAGACTACTTCTCACAGCAGGTAATTCCTCAACTCCTCTGTAACTTCTTTATCGTATTAGTGCAAACAAACTGACACTGAAAGCTCTTTTCTTCAGGTCTGTGGTTGGCCCTTGCAGCCATCAGTGAGTCTTTTAATTTCACTTTTTTATTTCAAAATGATCGAGATGATTTTTACGACAGCAGAAATCAGATCCCATTAACATACACATTTTTCTCTTAGGTATCACTGCCCTTTCTACCGGCATCGAAACCGACCTGTCAGTGGGTAATACACTGTTTAGTCTGAATGAAAGATTAAGACGGACAGGAGCTGAATATTACTATGCTTTCATTTTATTATGCACCAAAAATGCGTTTTTTGTTCTCTAAATGCAACAATAAAATGAAAAGCATTCAGTGAATTTTACACTGAACTAAAATTTGAAAATGAACCTAAGCTGCCATCTCTGCCATCTAGACGCGGGGATCAACATCACTGACACCTCCACCTTCTCCAGCGACCTTACTCCAGGGGACAACTGCAATGAAGAATTCGAGATCTTCCCCAACCCAGAAGACAATTCCACCTATTTCACATGTGATGACGGCATTATCATTCTAAAACTCTGCTTTCAAGGGCAGATCTTTAATGTAGAGTGCAGCTGCTGTACCGATGAAAACTGATGAACACTGATGAAAATGCACTGGTGATATTTCAACAGCAGCTGGATGTCCTCTAAGAATTAAATGATTTGGGATTGTTCTGGTTTTTTTGTTCTCAAGTGATTATAAGTTAGAATATCATAGTTTCAGCTTGTCTGTCCAATCACAAAATGCTTTCAAATTATATCAGTGCAATATATATTTTAAGTTGCAAGTTGAATAAAATGACGCTAAATCACAATGTTGTGTCCTATGTTATTAAACCACAAAAATATAACACTGACTATTTAAAGTTTATTAGAATACTAATGATGTAAAGATGAAGTGAAGTAAGTGAATTATTTTGAAGGGAGCTCATATCAAACAATCAACACTGACAAAAATATAAGAAGAAAAGTTACCAAATATGAGCATTACAGAATAAATTCAAGATAACATTCCCAGTTTAGCTCAGGGAGGTAACACACAGTCTGCAGAGGTTTGAGATAAGTGGTTGCTCCTTCCATGTGACAAGGGCTTTGCTATTGGATAAACATCATCACATGATTGTCATTGGAAAAGGGTGAATGCAGAAAGACAGTTGCCATTTATTTTTTTTAAATAAATCACTACTGTGTAATTAGACAACAGTTACCTCCTCCCTATTGTCCATGTCTAATCAGAAAGTACAATTATTTATAAAAAAAGCTCACTATAGGCTTTGTTTATTATGATTTGGTGAAAGGAATTGTCTAATGCCGGCGTACAATGTGCAATATTTTCGGTTGTGTCACTCAGCCCCAGCTTAAACTGTACGACCAAATCGCAGGGTTTAAAAATTCACAGCCCACGAATCATGTTCTTACATTATATAAACCGATGTACAGATGCGACCTGCCTGTGCACACTGTACAATCACATAACGACCGGAGTTGTTGTTCCGGAATTAGAAAACCACGAAGAAGAAAACCACAGAATTAGAAAACCACAGACGTGCGGAGACACAATGCTGATCCAGGCAAAAAAACAGACGCGCTGCCTTGGCAATTTGTGCCATTCTCTGCGCAGACAAGCTCAGAAAGAAGAGGCGATGAATATGGTCAAAGAAATGGCTGGGCAGATGTGGGCAGTACAGGTTGTCACTTCTTCAGAGGGAACTGGAGGTAAGTAGCTTTTCACCAAACTTCTGTTCTGCGTTGCTGGATTAGCTGCAACTCCATGTCCTGTGTCCAGAACACTCGCCGGCGCCATCGTCCTCCACAACCTCATATCCTGCTTCTGCTTCTGTGTCTGCGCACACACAGTCTGACAGATTCTGACAAATCGGCTCGTGGATGTACTTCAACAGAGGGAAACCCTCATCCCCCTTGATTTTTTTGCAACCTACGAATGCCGATCGGGAGCTGGTCGTGAGGTATTAATCGGTTTTCTTTCCCCCTTGTAAACTACAGGAAGCATGACACACAATGAAGCCAAAACTCGGCCCGATCCCCAAAATAGTCGCACAATAATCGGCTCAAAAATGGTCAAAAGTTGCACAGTGTACGCCCGGCTTAACCTGTCATATGCAAATTATCTTTTAGAATTCTGACCTGCCCTCCAGTTTTTAAACAACAGGCATTTAAACTGTGTGTATAAATGGAGATAACTAACCTGCTAGTCACCGCTCCGATTCCAGGTCACTTTCTGTTTCATATTACAGTTACTATGATTCAAAGCCCTCATATAAGATGCATAGTATGATACGTCTGCATATGTCAATATGCGTTGGAGATTAATTCGATATAAGTTACACAGGTTCAAAGCACTAGACATTATCTCAATGTATTTGAACTTATGAGTAACTTACAATTAACGTGTGTGAACGTATGTCAATGTTCGCATAACTTACCTACAACTTACAACAAGTGCAGGACATATAAACATACGCTGACATACATCCAGAAATTTTCAGCATGCTCAAAATTTTTCGACGACCTTGCCGTATGTCGCCATGTGCCAGCGTGCTTCATCATGCTCATAACGTATACAAAACTTACCTATATCTTATCTGACAAAACCACAGTCGCACGTTAATGCGAAGGCGGCTCCACCGGCAGCTGCAGCAGGACGTACAAGCGCAGCACTGGCTCTGTGTTTGTTTTGGGAAAGCTGATCAAACTTGACTGAACGCGTTTAGCCACTTGTATCAAGTCTAGAGTGAAATAGCTGAACAGACTTGTATTTACCTTCTGTACAGGTTGACCACGGCAAATGCGTCTTTCTGGACCTGGGCTCGTTCACGTGACACATAACTGCCCCAGGAGCACGTTGTGCTGATGGTAAACACACAAATACAACAACAGATTCATGCTCTCTGTGTATTTTGATGGGGATACGTGCCTACATTCACGTAGAGCATCAAAAAATTGAATGGAGACTATTTTCTGAAATGTACACATGCAGGACGTGCTCCATATGTGCATCTAGCGTGTACAGTGGAGCCGCCCTCAGTCACTTGCCATGCATTCTAAAATATACGCATCCAAAAGTTGCAGTTTTTACGCTCGCGTAGGGCGAAATATGCATGCAGTGGAGCCAGGCCCTAAAGAGGAGCATAAATTGTCATTTGTTTTTCAAAAATACAGAAAACCATGTTTGCGAATGACCATAAAAATGTAGCAACAGAAGTCCCTCAGATTATGACATGTGGCATCTGGAGTAAACAAAAAAAAAGCACAACCAGAAATACCCCACTGTGTGTCTTTATTTCAACAACGTAGGCCTAAATGTCCCTGTAGTTCCATATTCTTTGCTCATGCTTTTACCACTCCTTCACATTTGTATGGGATAAAATCATACATTTTTCATCTCTGTAACGAACCCACTGTCTCATGAATAAGTTAGCTTTATTCTTACATCCACTGTATCTTTTTAATGTTAGTGTCTGGGCTGCCGCTAACAGAGGAACAGTGCTTTGCCTCGGGAGATTAGCTGACAACTGCTTTTAATGAGCTCTCACTCTTCTCACGGAAATACATTGGCAATAATTTCATCACAAACTTTGAGACCCAGCAAAAAATAAAGAGATAAATATATAAAAAAGATAAAATAATGCCCTCAATAGCATGTTTTCCTTGTTTTTCTACATTCTTTTACACTGTTCACATGTCACTCGGTTGCTCCACAGAATGGCAAACTATATTGAATTATACTAAAGTTGCATTGCGTAACTTTTCTGGTGGAGGATCCATCACATGCTTTTCTCCATGAAGATGTTATTGCTTTGTCTGGAATGTTTTTACATGTTTGTTTAATTACAGTATGATATTAACCCTTTCTATCTTCATGGAGAACAAACCAGATCTAGTTACAGGTCAGATCTGTGGAGAGGCTCACAGTCAGACTGCCTGTTTTTGGAGTTATAAAACCACCTGAAACTGAATAAATATAAAGTGTCAGCAGTCACCTCCAGTCTCTCTCTCTAAAACGTTCAAATCAGGCTTGAAATCTAGGAGTAATAATGGACTCACACTTGAACTTTAACAGCCACCCAAAAGCATTGGGTTACCCATAGAGAATAACTGCATTAAAGAAAAGAAATGTCCACGAGTGATTATAAATGATTTTCACACTCATGAACTTAATTGAAACACAGACATATTTGTATCTCTGGGAACCTTAGACTCTGAACTCTTTATTTCTGGATGTTTAAATGTGATTCAACTCATTTACAGGTTTAGAACAGCTCACTGAAAATGAGAGTTTACCTTCTTCAGGTTCAAAAACTGAAAACAAAACACTACATTCAGCATCTGATATATGCATGTTCTGAGTACTATATTCATAAAAAATGTAAAAATATATTTGTCAAAGTATTTAAACAGATTTCATATCACCAGATACATTATAACCAAGTGTTCACCTGTTTTTACCTGTTGTTCACCTGTGTGCACCTAATTTGTTTTTTCCATTTAACTTATTCAACTCATTTAGCTTATTATAATCTAATAATATAATAATAAAACTCTTCCCTGTCAGTATGTGTCCAGTATTTGTCATGTTGGTTACTTTCTCGTGCGCAGAGCTCCACATAAGTGTTTGTTTCTGTAGTAGCTGTCATACATCGCATCTTGGAAAAAAAGACAGAAATGTAAGTACTCGCCTGAACAACATCCAGATTTTGGGGCAATTTTGGTTCATAATCGAGTATAAAGCCCCCGATAGTTTGTTTGGATATCACAGGACTCCACACAGACGCATCAGCGACATTCTCACCTTCGTAAGTTTCACCCTCTGAAAGTCCGTCGCTATCGCCGTTTTCCACTTTATAATCAACTTCATCATCACTTTGAAATCTATAAAAGTCACTTTCTCTAAACTTATCCAGAAAATACGCCCGCTCTTCATTATTTCTAAAATAGTGCGCCACAATCTTTCTATTGCACATGTTTCGTGTTGTGTTTTTCCGGAAGCTACAATCGTCACCACTTCGATTAACTTCAGAAAAAATAAGTGAAAACGTATCCTTGAATCCTATTGGTCAGCCTAGTGTGGGTTGTAGTGGCCCCCACCTGTCACAGTCTCTGTTTAAATGTGAAAATCCGGAACCGTCTCTAATAGTCGTCAAATCACGTCTTTAGTGATACAGCGGAGGTGTCAAAACACGTCATGAAGGAAACAAGGGAGGTCGTCAAATGTCGTCTTCATGGGGGAAAGAGTTTAAGCTTGAACAGTTTTGAGATTCAGTATGTGTTCTACTTTTTATCAGAACACATTCAAAGAGCAAATATTTAAAGGTGGACTGTGTAACTTTTCTGGCAAAGAGTTTGCTACTTTCTTTTATCAAGTGAGATGTATTTACTTTACCTGGACTGTTTCAATATTATGGCATTTATTTCTATATGTATCTATGAAGACTAGCCAGTTACAAGTCAGATCTGTGCAGAGGCGACCAAGTTCAATGTAAGAATTAGTTTTTCAAGTTTTTTAAGCAACAAACTCACCTGTAATTGAATCCAAACACCTGTAATTGAATTCAAACAATATTAATGTATCAATTC